ATGGATCTCCTTGCCTAATACCCCTCTTTACAGGAAAGAAACCCCTAGCTACACCATTCACCAATATTGAGAAATGACATGAAGAAATGCATCCCTTTACCCAACTGCACCATCTCTCCCCAAACCCTCTCCGCTTGAGAACCTCTAGTAAAAATATTCCACACCCCTTGGATGATTGACCCGCATTAACTTTCATTCCTCAGCCCATATTTTTCAGCAATTAGATGCCTCCACCAACAACTAAACCTCCATTGCCATATTCCAAGGCTCTGTTAATAGTTATTATTTTGTTAAGACCAAATCACCCATCATTATTGGTTTGCAAATCTTCTCCCAGTCCACCAAATGGCACCTTTTTTACTCTGTCCAGCCTCTCCATTGGAAGGTTCCTTTGCATTTTCTCAAGGTTTTCACAATCTTACATGGTACTGGGAAAAATAATTGAGCAAAGATTATGGCATCAAAAGCAGAAGAATCTCTTTTTTGAGCATTTACACCAAATGATTTTTGACTTCCCCAACATGAAAAGCACAAAAAGCTTGTTGAAGCACTCCTGAACATGGCATGAGATAGATGAGTGGAGAAACTACAATGGATGGGATCAGAAATGGAGGTGTTTGGCAAGTCTTTATATGTGCTCTTTCTGGCTTTTCAAAGCTTGGAAGACCAAAATGTGGTCTTTCTCTGTTTGGCATGAAAGACAGGAAGCCTGAAAGACCTATTAAGCTCATGGAATCTCAAAACGGCCAAAAATATGGAAGCTTCATTTGAAGCTCCCCGTCTTTTTGCACCTAAAATATATCTTTCATTAACAGCTTACATCATGGTAGACTAGGATACTTACCAAACAGTCTGGATCTTTAAAGACAAGACAGCAATAGCTCATTACATCTTTTGGTCATCTAGGCTGTTGGAAGATCTTCCTAAAAAGACTTACCAAACAGCACTGATGTTGTTCGAAGGAACCCCCAGGGGTAGTTCCAATATGTGATAAAGTGAAAGGAAGTAGACTAAGGTAGTTCGCCACATGCATAGAAGTCATCAAAAACACCTGTTAGAAAGAAGTGATTTGTTGCAAGGGGCTAGAAGAGCTAGGGGTAGACCTAAAAGGACATAGGTAAAAGTAATAAGAAATGGTTTAAGTGCCAATAAATTAGCAATGGGTATGACTTTATTCATGTAACCAACCCCATATAGTTGGGATAAGGCTTGGATGATGATAATAATGACATGGTATTGGGAAAATGGATAAGTAAAATAGGTTGGCAAATTGGCTAGAGTGATTTTGATCAATGTTTTTTTTTCCTCTTTTTGAGAGACACCTGGGTTTCTCTACAAAGAGTATTTTCTGGAATTTTTCCACCACTGACATCCCAGTTGAATTAGAGAAGCATCTAGCTCCCAATGGTAGGCAGTAGAGAACAATCTATATTCACCCATAGTTTTCAAGGCGCCAAGGCTAGGCTAGGCGATGGATTTTTTTTTTTCTGTAGAAAACATAGATTGGGTAGTTCCCTAGGTACCATAGCCATATTTCCTTAATAATTATTCATAATTTTCATAAGAAAAGTATAGAGTTCATGTTAAAGTATAGAAGGTCAACATATTCACGAGAAGAAAAAGAAGGAAAGGAAAATTCAAAAAATATAGGGGCTGAACCCTTATTTTTGTTATAGGAAAAGATAAAAAGAAAAAGAAGTAGTAGTACTAGTAGTAGTAGTAGAAAATGTGTTGATTAGACAAAATTTTAAGTTCTTCCTTACTTATTGGTTCAGGTTTTAGAGTCTTTGGGTGTTCAATACAGCATTTAGCAATGTTTATATTGATTAAACCCTAACAAATAAGAAAAATAATAAAAATAAATTAGTATATAAATACACAAAATGAATATTTTAGTTTAATAGTGTATATTTTATAATTATAATGTCAAAAAATAAAGAATAAAAAAGTATTTTATAATACATAGTACAAAACTGCTTGGTGATTAGGCGAGCGAGTCTCAAAGGGTGCCTTGTCGCCTAGGCGTCACCTTGACAACTTTGCATTCACCATAACTAAATGGTAGAACCTATTAGATCTGTCACTTGTTCAATGGCAGATGAGAGGGGCTCTCAGAGCAGAATCAGACATGTAGGGTATTAAAGTATTTAAGCAAGCTTGGATCAGTTTCCTATAACCAAGGGTTTCTCAGACACGATTGTCTCCATTAAGAAACTTATTAACCATGACTTTAATATATAATTAACATTGTCTTATCAGCTAACCTAATCTATTTCATGTCATGTAGCAGTAAACAGAATAATATAATTGCCAACTTTAAGCATCTGGCCGGACCAAGCACCAAGCCCTAGATCTGGATTCAACCAATATCTGGTTCTTGAATTTGATATTTTTCTTTAAGTGGTATTAATTATATGGATGGTCCATATCTGACATGTTTTACAACATATTCAAAATGAAATATATATTATGCTGGAAAGATTCTTTCGAATGTGTAACTGATCTTGAGTCTACGTAGAAAAAGATTTTGATATGAGACTTTGAGAGGTTTCTCTCCTTTGCCTAATTTATTGATGTATCCAATATATTGTTTTAATCGTTTAGGATTTTTTTTTTTTATGTTTTAAATAGTACATTTATTTCCATAAGTTGTTTTACGTAAAACAAAGGGATATCATAAAAAAATTAAGTGAAACTAAATGTCTAAACCCACTGAATTCCAAAATCTTAGACTCATGGAATCTAACACCATGTAATTTTTCAGATTCTTAAAACTACATCAATTTAGAAGGATACGGATTGGTTTGATAACCATCTGACTTGATCAATTTGCTTTTGACATAGTAGTGATTCTATGGCTGTGAATAAATGTCATTGTTAGCATTGAGATCCCTTCCATGGTGAAGGGCATTCATTTTGGTGTTTACTCACTATCAAGCCGCTGTCTCATGTTGCAGATTGGATATGTTTTATGTTCAAAGTGCAAAGTTTTTAAATGCGTTACCTTTCCAAACTACAGTGATGGTGAGCTCTGATTCTTTGTAACAATTGGCTGTTTACAGTTTCAGTTTTGTATTTTTTTCCCGGTTCTAGTTTGAGTGGAGCCAAGGGCAAGTGTGCACTACTAGTAACTAAGTGGTTATGTGATGCCTTATTCTATTATTTGTGGATGTAATCTGAATTATTAACTTAATACCAAATGAATATTCAAATGTTCATCCTATACAATTAAAGGAAAAGCAGAAGAGCAAAAACAAAAAAAAAAGGAAAAAAAGAGAAAGGAAAGAAGAGAAAAAAGGCTTTTCTGAATAAAGATAATCATGGGTTTTTATTTTGTGAACATGGTATGGTTGATTTTCTTTAACTTAAGGCCTTATTCATTTTTCGAGAAGTAGGGGCAGGTAACTTGGTAGGTCCCATGGAAAAGAAATAAACCCACATTCATTATTTGCTATGAATTGGTCATGGAAAAAGAATTATTTTCAAGCGGCTTATTTGCTTTAGGCAAATTACTTATGCGTGTTGAAAATGGTGGTTAGTACATGATGGGATAATATTGTCTCTTCAATAATGTCATTTATTTGCATAAATTGATTATTATACACTATCTGGAAAGTAAAAGAACACCAGTAAATACATTTATGGGACAAGTATTTTCAGGAAACACTTGCCTGGATAAGTGCATTCACCTAGATAAATGATTAACCAAAAAACGAATGAGACCTAAACATCCTATAAGGTATCCTAACTGCTCCTAGGTTTCTCTGCTACAACTTTTGACTATTATAAAACAATTTGGGTACACCATCTTATGTTCTCTATTTTGGATTTTGTTTGTGGGGAAATAAAATGGCACTCCTGACAAGCCACACACTAAGAACATCTCCATCCTATGAATGGCAAGGGAGATGTTTCCTATTGCAGCTGTGAAGGGTTGTAGGGAGAAAGTCTAGACTCTTCAGCGAAGATCTTGTTAGGGGGTTGTGGCTTAATGTATCTCTTTCCTTTTTTGTTTTCCTTTCATAACCAATTACCCAATTAATATGGGTCAGGTTTTCTTAGAACTTGCTTTTTCGTTTAAAGCCATTTGATCTGGGCAGTTGAACCATTAACCTATTTGACTTGGTCGCTGGGTTGTGGGTTATACATTCAGTATATGTGCAAACTTTCGGAGGTCTTACCTTTGTGCTAGATGTTGATTGGGGTGTTTTTTATTTGAGGTAACAATTTGAGATCTCTGTGTCTCTGGCCCAAAAATCATGGAAGTTAGATGTACATGAGTAAAGAGAAGTGAAAACTCATTGGCAGATGGCTTAGCTAGGCAAGGGGTGAAGAGAAACTTTGTTTTTTGGGCTGTTTTATAGTTGGTTTCAGTTGGGTGTACTTTAATGTACTTTGATGTATTGGGGAGTTAAGTTTTTTTAGCTTCTTATTTATGTGTAGTCTCAATTTTTAATAAAATGCACTGTTATTGATAAAAGAACACTTGAACCCAAAAAAAAAAGGGGAAGCCTGTTTTTGAATTGAATGATTTGTGTCCCTCTACAAATGCCTACAAAGCAGAACGTCAATGGTCAGATTCAAATCCCACTGCCGCCGGGGGTGGGAAGAGGTTATGGTAAATCCTGAGTGAGGTAAATCCTGGCATGCCTTGGCTCGATTTGATTAGAATACTCTTATATATTCAAATTCGAATTTATTCGATCCAACTAAATATTTGATAAATTTGAATTCAACAAAAATTAATATTAATTGAGCTAAACTTACAAGAAGCCAAACGTTTTATTATTTGAATTTGAATTTCAAATTCAAATCCACCCCAATTATTCCATCTAAGCTCAATTCGATTGCACTGTTAGGCATGGTTATGAGGATGAGCTACCCAAATTCAATTCACTATTTACCTGGGCCAAAGTAATTGAGTGTATGGAGGAATTTTACTTCTTTTGGGATTCAGCGATGGAGATAATACTTTTTGAGTGTTATACAAATGTACAGCTTCACCAATTTTTTGTCTTTTTTTATTGCTTCAAATGTCCCTATTTCTAATGGCCCAGCATTTGAAATAGAACCGTAGACAATTTGATCTCGTTGGAAAGTTGGACCCAAGCCCCCAATCACCCAGAAACTTTTTTAGGGATAAATAATTAAAAGTACCGTAATTGGATAAAAACCTACCCTACTTCTGAAAAAATTATTTAAGGATTCTCAAGTTTTCTCACAATGGACAAAATCCTTCCCTACCATTTATGCGTGATAATAATTTGTTCTATATGATGTATTTTCTTTCTTTCTTTTTTTTTTAAAGGAACCATTAGAAACATTAAGAATACATGATTAGTCCCTTGTTGCATGAAGCAAAAAGCCAGTGAAGAGATAAAGGGGGTAAAATGCTGAAACAAAAGACCTACGCAATCTAGCTAGTCTAGCCCTGTTATGGGCTTTAATAACTCCAGCCCGTCCAACATATATAAGTTTTATACTAACAAAATATGAGAGAAGTTGTTTATTAGTGAGGCCAAAGGATATCATCCTCCTCAGTTCTCTTGCAATCGCCCAGAATTCTGCTACTGTTGAGGAAGAGGCCATGCATGATTGCCCTTCAGCAAAAGAGTGATTAAGACTTAAGAGTATGAGATACAAGGAATAGGCCTTTTGAACCATAATTTGTGGACTATCACTATCGTGTCTCGCATAATATCCAGTGCAGTGATATCCATGGGAATTTACTTGCCGACTTTCAGAGTTCAATCCCAGCAACAGCAATTTGTAGTATGATGTTATGTGATTTATATAATTTTTTACGTCGATTTTGTCTTTCATTATTTTATAAATTTTCAAAATATAACTCAACGATTTGAAAAGACTTGTATATACAGAAACACTTAGAGAGTCTGGGTAGTTTCATCAAATGACACGTTTATGTGCTGTAACAATCCGTTTGCATGTGATGTTACATGACTGATAATTTTTCTACAATCGATTTTGCCCTTCATTATTTTTAAAAATTTTAAAATAAAACTCAACAGTACAACGAGACTTGTGTAGGTGTGCCAATTTTTGGCAAAACCGACCACTGAACATTGGTCAGTAGTCAAAAGAATACTCTGGTATCTCAAGGCTATCATTACTCATGGACTTCTCATGCAACGATCTAAGGATCTTACACTTGAAGCCTTTTTCTGGTGCAGATTGGGCTGGATGCCCTGAAGATAGACGTTCACATGGAGGTTTTTGCATATTCTTAGGCCCTAACCTTGTCTCATGGAGCTCTAAGAAATAGTCTACAATCTCCCACTCTAGCACTGAGAGTGAATATCAAAGTATTGCCTCTTCTGTAGCTGACCTCTCATGGATTCACATGCTTCTCATCGAATTGGGTTTCCCTCCTAGCTCCCCCTACCCTATGGTGTGACAACTTAGGGGCAACCTACCTATCTTCTAACCCCATTGCTCATGCAAGAACCAAACACATGCTTCTCATCGACTGTTACACGTCAAGTTCCTTCCTACTTCTCAACAGATTGCAGACTTCTTCACTAAACCACTTCCTGGGCCCAGGTTCACTTCCTTGAGAAACAAGCTCACTGTGTATCCCCCGCGTTTCACTTGAGGGGGGCTGATAGAGACTCCACTAATGTTAAGTCAAGAAAAACGCCAAATCTGGAATTCACGTAACAATTGCTAAATTGATGGCAGATCTCGTGCTCGAGAATATTGGTCTTGCACAGTTGTTCAAAATATTTAAAATTCAAAATCTTTGTATATTTATTACAGTCACCTTTTGTATCTATGTATGTACAGAACCATCCATTTGAAAGTATCAAGGAAAAGAATTTTGCTTTCTTTCACTCTATTCTTTCATTGACTATACCTGGGAGCTTAAGTAAATTTTCTAGTGGTTCTGGTAGTTGATTCGCACTTCTGGCAGATACTTTCTGTGAGACAATAGCCTGAAGTGTAGGAAAAAGTATAATGATGGCATCGGCTTTGGTCGGTGATGATTTAGTGAGGTAAGTGAGAGGTCTATTTCGTATAAATGAATCATACCAACTACTCCACCCATCTGCATGAGACGGGAGTGGACATTTTTCTGATTCATCCCATCACTTGTTTCATTAATTTCACTGTGTTTTCACTTGTTCCTGCTCCCATCCGAGCTAGGTCGAGTTGATTTAGTCATGTCATTGCTTCTCCCAGTTTTCTTTGCCTACGAGCTTCCTTCTCTTTCTTGGTTACCACGTTGAATTGAATCTACTTCTTTATTCTAGTCTAGCCTCTGACTTTTCTCATCAAATAATGAGTCATTATCAGATTTTTTATTCTAGGGGAAACCTCATTGGCCGATTAACCATTCTCCACCCTCAACTAGTCTCCTAGGTAGTCAATCTCTCCTTCATCTTCAAAAGCCAAATTCCAACATACTGCCATTGCCTTCTATTGGGGTTCCCTCCTTATGAGGTGGGAGCCACTAATAAAGGTAGAGAAAAGAAAGAAGAAAATGGCAATTCCTTGGCTAACCAATGAATTGGAGAGAACTTCTCTCTACTCTCTCAACTCTAACAACTCTCTAGAAAATATCAGAGAACAGAAAAGGGGTTTAGAGAAGGTCTTTGAGAGAAAAAGAAGATTTACAAGGACTGAAATGAAGAAGACAAATCCGTTTTCAACATCTCTTGCTTCCATTGTTGTGCTTCTACCTTTGATGAGAGATTTCTTGTTTGCTATCCAAGAGCTTTTTTTATGTTCATCATCTAGTTGTAACTAGATAGAAAAACATTATACCCTATTACTATTGCTGATAGTGGATGGTTTGGACTTTGGTCTCATGGTTTTTACCCTCACATTGAGGGGTTTTTCATGTAAATCTTGGTGTCTATTATTGTTACTTGCTCTGTGTTTGGTTATTTGTTTTATTACTGCTGCATGCTCGATATTTGTGGTTAAGATTTCTGTGATTTTTTACAAGGAAATATATAGGGATTATTCCAACACCTTCCACATGTCGAACACTTCTTTCTTTGAATTCCAATATCTCTCCAGCTTCCTAATTTGGAGGTTTGCATTTTACTAGAGAAATAGTAAAAATCAAGTATTGTATCAATTAATTCTCCACCTCTTTTTGAACTTTTTATCAGTTGAGTTTTATTTTGAAAATTTGAGAAATAATAGAGAGCAAATTCAACATTTACTTTTTTTTGTCAATATCTAATAGCAATGT